CCCAAGGTCATCCAGCCAGGTGCAAGTGGAGGAGTGGGGAATCAAACCTGGTTCTCCCAGATGAGAGTCCGCGCACTTAACCACTACACCAAACTGGCTCTCAGACTCTAATCTGGGAGTACCGGGTTTGATTCCCCACTCCTCCACTTGCACCTGCTGGATGACCTTGGGCAAGCCACCGTTCTGTCAGAGCTGTCCTTGAAAAAGAGCCGTTTCTCTCAGAGCTCTCCCAGCCCCACCTCCCTCACAGGGTGTCAGTTGTGGGGAGAGGAAGGGAAAAGAGTTTGTAAGCCGCTCTGAGACTCCTTTGGGTAGTGAAGGGCGGGGTATAAATCCAATCTCCTCTTCTTTTTCCTTCCTCTTAAATCCAGTTTTTCAATGCCAGAGAACAAGTCAAAATAACGCGAGATTTGAGTCTGCGAGCATCTCAGAGATGCACCAGATTTTCGAGGTATAAGCCCTCAAGAGTTGAAGCTGTGTTATCTGACGAAGGGAGCATCCATTCTCGAAAGCTGATGCCCCGAAAATCTGGTTGGTCTCTAAGAAGAAGAGGAGATTGGATTTATACCCCTCCCTTCACTACCCAAAGGGGTCTCGGAGCGGCTTACAAACTCCTTTCCCTTCCCCTCCCCACAGTGGACACCCTGTGTGAGGTAGGTGGGGCTAAGAGAGCTCTTTCGGGGACTGCTCTTGAGAGAACAGCTCTGAGAGAACTTGTGGCTGAACCAAAGTCACACCAGCAGCTGCATATGGAGGAGTGGGGAATCAAACCCGGTTCTCCCAGATTAGAGTCCGTGCTCCTAAGCACTACACCAAACTGGCTTTCCTAGAGTTGGATCTAAACGCTCCACTACAGAGCAACACGGCTAGCTGCCATCTGACACTATCAAAGGTGACTGTGTGTCTGAACATGCGCAGAGTGCGGTTCCCTCAACAATCTGTACAAGAAGCCCCTCCACAAGATCCGAGGTTAAGGGAAAGGCTCTCAAAGAGAGGATGCACAGTCCGGACTGGCTGGGGTCTGAGAAATGAGACCCCATTTGAGAAATGAAATCTGCAGCACACTTTCCTTGATTAACTCGAGAACGGCTTCTGAGCAAATATGCACAGGATCAAACCGCACATACTGCAGCGTCTCTGGCAACTGGATACACGACCCGCCTTGTGGGGGCGAGAAATCCAGCCGTGTGATTTATGGCCCATAAAGAACAATGGATGGAAGGGAATTCGGGTTGCGGAGAAATTCTGCACTGATTTGGTGGGGAGAGGAGAGAGACGCTAAATCAAAGGGTTCCGAAAAAAACGATGCAAATCGCAACTGTCCAATGGGCCACAGCCGCATCGCCCCCCCCCCCCCCTCGTCCATGATGGATAGCCACAGATCGGTCCCATCTCCGCCTGGGTCTCCCACCCGAAACCCCACGACTCCGAACCCTTTGGGTTTGCCCAAATTTGGCCTGGTCTACCCCTGCCAAGGGCAGATTCTCCCCAGCCATAAATCAGACGGTGACGTGTTTAGGCTGTACAGTCCAGGAACAGGCAACAATTCAAGCAAAAGAGATCTTTAAGGGGGGGGGGGGCATGGAAGTACATCTGCGAGAAGGCAGAGGGAGCCAGCCGGACCCTCCAGTGCGGGCCAGGGAAGAGAACTTTAAAAAAAAAAAAACCCACTCCAAACCAAAATCCTCCTACCTAGCATTTGCTAGCAGAAATGCAAAATCTACGTCCCTCCAAATTCCTTATTAAATATTCCAAATGAAATATTCTTTTTTGGATCAGCTTTGGGGAGGTGGGGTTGGGTTGCATCCATATTAGTAACAGTCATGATTCATGCAAAGGGGGTGGAGAAAGGTGCTTTTTGGGGGGCGGGGGCAGGCATGAAAATGCCTTTGTTCATGGGGGGGAGGGGATACAATTCACGAAAGAATCCGCATCCATAAGAACATCAGAACGCAAGAGAAGCCCATGTTGGATCAGGCCAATGGCCCATCCAGTCCAACACTCTGTGTCACACAGTGGCCAGAAACACCAGGTGCCATCAGGAGGTCCAGCAGTGGGGCCAGGACACTAGAAGCCCTCCCACTGTTGCCCCCCCCCCAAGAATACAGAGCATCCCTTGCCCCAGACATAAGAACATAAGAGAAGCCAATGTTGGATCAGGCCACTGGCCCCTCCAGTCCAATACTCTGTGTCACACAGTGGCCAGAAACACCTGGGGCCCTCAGGAGGTCCAGCAGTGGGGCCAGGCAGCCACATCAAAACGGAAGGCACGTTCAGGCCCCAGGGCCTGCTTGGTGGTAGCCCCACTCCCCTCCCTTACCTGGAGCACAGTTGTCCACCAAGGCACCCAAGGCCTTGCCATCTTGCCAGTCCCGGTTGAAGTTGGTGATGGGCAGCTGAGGGACCTTGTTCTGGATCCAGCCCAGGAGCCGCTGTTTGGGCGTCTGCTTCTTGGCGTCCTCCTCGTCTTCGTCCTCCCACATGGGCATCGAGATGGAGTAGTGCAGGATCAGGGTCCAGATCAAGCCCAGGATGAGCTTCAGGTTCCCATCGACGATGGCCTTGCTGTCTGCGGAGAGGCAAGAGAAACGCAGGGATGTAGAGCCGGAAGGGACCTCCAAGGTCATCTAGTCCGACCCCCTGCACAAGGCAGGACATTCACAGCTACCTCCCCACCCACTCCTCCAGGGTCCCCTGCTCTGTGCCCAGAGGAAAGGGGGAAACCTCCAGCATCCCTGAGTCAATCTCACCTGGGGGGGGGGGAATTCCTTCCTGCCCCCAAAGTGGCGATCGATCGGCATTTCCCCGGGGCATGTAAGAAAGGACCACGAGAACTGAGCACCGAGGCAACCCTTCCCGCCCTCCCTTCTCAGGATCTGCCTAAGTCCACAGAATTCGCACTGCTGTCCGAGGGCCATCTAGCTTCTGCTTCGAGACCTCCGAAGAAGGAGAGCCCACCGCCTCCCGAGGAAGCCTGTTCCACTGAGGAACTGCTCTAGTTGTCAGGAAGTTCTTCCTCATGTTTAGCCAAAAACTTTTAATGTCAAGAGAGAGACGGGCAGGCGCCAGGTCAGTGAGGGGGGGGGAATGTGGGTAGGGGGCTGAGACCCTTTCCCGGTTGCCCGGCCCTCGAAAGAAGACTCCTTTTCCACCCCCACTCGCTTTCACACACGTTAAATAACGCACTTTCAGTTGCAAGGGGATTGTAAAATGGCCAAAAAAAAATCCACCCGCAAATGACCTCCAAAGAGCACGGAAATGGATTGAAAAACACATTGTTCAGTGTGTGTGGAAAGCACAAGAAGAGAGTTCGAGTCCAGTGGCAACTTTGAGACCAACAGAGTTTAATTCTGGGTATAAGCTATCCTGTGCACACACACTGTACCAGATACATGGAAACATCTTTCTCGTGTTAATCAATTCATAAATAAGGACTTCCCTCCAGGCATGAGCTGGTCCACATGATCTCTGGGTAGAATGGCCAACCACCACCAGGATGAGATTGGATTTATACCTCGCCCTTCACTACCCGAAGGAGTCTCAGAGCAGTTTACAGCCTCCTTTCCCTTCCCCTCCCCACAACAGACGCCCTGTGAGGTAGGTGGGGCTGAGAGAGGTCTCTCGAGGACTGCCCTTGAGAGAACAGCTCTGAGAGAACTTGTGACTGACCCAAGGTCACACCAGCAGCTGCATGTGGAGGAGAGGGGAATCAAACACAACAGACGCCCTGTGAGGTAGGTGGGGCTGAGAGAGGTCTCTCGAGGACTGCCCTTGAGAGAACAGCTCTGAGAGAACTTGTGACTGGCCTAAGGTCACACCGGCAGCTGCATGTGGGGGAGAGGGGAATCAAACA